GACATTACGTTAGTGTAACAAGAAGGCGCCTCTGGTGTCAGAGACAGAAAGCCCCGCTTTCGCGACAAAGTAGTGTCCAGGAATTTAGCAAAGATCAAGCGGCGAGGTACTTGTGAGACGAAGTGTTTCTCATAATTGGGTATGCGTACGCGGCTGTGAGGGGTTGTGAGTTCAGTGGCAGCGGGCAAGTTGGAAGTTCAAGTAAGCCAGTCATTTGTATATTCGAACCATGTTTTTAAATGAAAATAATGAAAGTACAAATTAAAGAAAATGGCATTTGCGAAAAACAAACTTGCATCAGTTACGGGGGGAATTTTTTATGTAGATTCTCATTGCTCTCACAAAGCGCATATGTGTGTTTCCTACGGTTAGGATAAATCAACACTTGTTTTGCTTTTGTTTGCCCCAGACGCTTTTCTGGTGGCGCTGATTGAGGGGGAGAGAACCTGACAAAAAAATATTCAACAGAGGATAATAAGAGTGCTGGATGTAGGCTGTTTAGACTACATTTACGCTGGAGTCGTTGCGGCGGTGTATGGAAGAACAAGCTAAACTGGCTCGTTTTTCAATAAGCCCTAATCACGGACAGTGCTTGGTGTGAGAGAAGAACCGCGGAGTTCTAATACAAAAATGATTATAGCTGTGAGTTGAGTTTAATGAGGTGCCTGTCGTCTCCCTGTTTCGCTTACTGTTGCTGCAGAAGTGCTGAGAATGGTCCACCGTCCAGCTCAACGCCCTGGGAGCCCGCCGAGTTTCACTTCACACGCATCATTCAGTTGACCTTCAGAGGTAAGTTCCTACACAGGCGACATTATTTCAGGCATCTATAAGGCCATAGCAGTCCACAAAGCAATCTGGATTTGCGTCTGAGCTGTGGTGCCTGTTGTCTGCCCTAGTGCTTCCAAAAAGACTGTCGAGCGAGTGTTAAAAATCGAGACGTGAGAGAATCAGTTTTAGTACGTGATCTTACTGTCTGCTTCGTCCCAGCCCAGAGAAGAGAAAAAGTGGTGTCGTGCTCTCTTTCGGTCGCTCCTGTGTGAGAGAACTGTTCGCCGTTAAGCGAGTTAATCTCGTGCCGCAGACGTTGCTGCGCGAACCCCCGTGCGTGCCCCATCGGTCACGTCGACGTGCGGGTGAGTGTTCCGGGAAGCGTGCTTGTTTATGCGTGACGCCCTTCGCCTAATGACTGCGAGGATCCCGCGGGCCCCTCGGTTGTCCCATTCGTTTCCGGGTCTCGCAATGCCAGGGGAGTCCATGTGTCTCTGGTTGTCAGCTCACGGTTACGCTCTATTAGCCGTCGCGCTGGAAGAGGAGGGGTTATGCTAGGGTCCACTAGTCTGCTAACCACTGGGGTTGAACGAATTATGTCGCATGAACCGACAACTGAGGGTTAGTCTGTGGATGTCACAGGAATGGTAATTGTTTTTGGTGTTCTTTCCCAGGTGATTTTCGCCAGAGTTCTGGAGGCGGGTCCGCCGAGAATCATGACCCCTTACGAGCGCCGCAGTCAACCTCCAGAGTGAGTGTTTCCTCACACCGACCTGCGTTCTGATGCTGGGATGTCGGATTGGTTGGCATCAGGTTGTCAACTCATTATTGTAAACGTTTAGATGACTAGCTGATCTCGTATGTGTTGGGCTATTAATCGGTGTCACCTGATCAGCTGTTGATTTGGATTGGTAGACGCCATGTTGGGAAGATCAGCGAACGCTGCGGGTGTGAAGTTCACCAAAGTCTGCGCACGACACTTGCGGCAGACACCTGCTAGGATTCGTCGGGTATGTAGATCAAAAGGGGTGAGAGGGTGCATTACTGGGTGCCATCTGATAGCCCCTGGGGCCGGCTCCTTGCCCGCCCGGTTGTCCGGAGGAACTGCTTTGGTGTTACGGATCACCGGCCTTGCCGAGGTGGTGCCCCCATCGCGAGGAGCCGGGAAGATCAGGAGGGGCATGGTGAGTCCTGGAGGAGCGCAAATGAGGAGTCGTTTGAAGGGGAGCCACGGTCTGCTGGAACATGTGAGTTGAATGATGGATCTATTTTATGGTGGTTTGTGTCTGATTCACGTTCACGGCGCGCGGTCCCCGTCCACTCTATGCTGTGAACCACCAATCACTAACAGGTGCTGGAAAACTGTGAGAAGTGGTCAGGGACCTTCCGCATCGCGACCTTCCCTGGGAGACCAGGCTGAGGACCGCGCAACACAAGCTCTGCAAGGTCGAGTCAGCTAGTAGCTAGTTTCGCTCGTCTTGACCTTCCGTCGCACTGGATCGGTATGGTTGCTGCTGGCGTCCCCCTTCTGGTGTCGTCGGATACTGGGTTTGATTCTTGGCCTCTTTTCGGGGGTTGCTTGACACGGCCGTGTGTTACTGGTTCGTCCTACTGAGTCTCGTTATGGACTTGGTGCTGCTGGGGTCTCCTGACTAGAAAAAGCCAGTACAACCCGCAGTCCTTCTTTGCGTTCTCAGGTGAAGCTTAGATCTAGGACTTTTGTGACCCTGAGTCCTGATCGCACCGATCTGTGCACTTCAGTTTGTCTTTACTAGAGATTGGCGATTTGTGATGATCGAACTAATCCAATCCATTCTGACTGTCGGCGATCTATGATTCTGTTCCTGGTGTTGGTTGTCGCTCGTTAGAGTGTAACCTGCAACCAGGCAGCTCGAGACTCGTCAGTGTCACTCTTTGGATGGCCATGCCCGTGGTTCGTGGCTTCAGGAAATGTCGCAGTGGAGGGTTGTGACGAGTGTTGTCGACAGACACTGCTGGACAACTGTGGAGCACGTGTAAAACCTGTTTACTACAGCATCCGCAGAGGCGGGGACGTTCGAGCACCCGCAACATCTGCCAACGTGAAGCTCCACACACTGAGTCCAGCACTTTGACTTTTTTCTGAAGTTCTGTCGCCTCGCTCACAGTGTGAATGTGTTGGTTGGGTGTGTGGGTTCCTGTACGCCTGTAACTGTGACACCCAGTGGGCTCTGCTGAGAATGGGGGGAGAGCATGGTGACGCCGGGGATGACATGACGTTTCGGAGCCGAGTCTGATCGGGCGCGTCAGTGTCGCTGGTAAAAGTCAAACGTGGGAGCGAAACGCTGGGTGGGAGCTGCAAAGAATGCACATCGATTTGGGGATGGGAGCTGGACCGAGCCTTGAAGGCTGCAAGGGTACAACCTGGACATGAACACCTACAGCAGTGATCAACATACACAGAACACTTGCGTGTTCAGCGTGTACACTCACTTGCTCACTGTGTATCTATTTTTCTGCCGTTTCAGCATGTACACTCCATTGTAACTGGGTGTGGTTCTATTTTTGCGTGTCAGCATGTACCACCTCACTGCTCACTGCTGTATTATGAACTGCGTTTTCGAGCCGTACACTCACTGTCACTGGTGTATTATTTCTGGTTTCAGCAATGTACAACCTTTCATTGTGGACTGTGTATTATTATGTTGGCGTTTCAGGCATGGTACACTCACTGTCACTGTGTATTGATAACCTGCGTGCGTTCAGCGATGTGACCTCACTGCTCACTGTGTATTATTACTGCATGTTTAGCATGCTACCTGCGCAATTCCGGTGGGAACAGTTCACGGAGGGAAATCCATTGCGACAGTAGAAACAGGAGTTGCTTCTGTAAACGGTCTGGGTGACGTGACGGACTGTGAACAGGTGTTTGGTAAGAACATAACATTCAGGATACAGTTTTACTGGGTTTGTTACACCAGCATATGTTTATGTGGGGTGTGTGTTTATCCCGGTCGTGGTTTGAAGTTTGTGGTGTTTATGTGTTATTGTGGTGGGTGTGTGTAGCCTGAATGACTTCCTCTTCAGCTTAAATCAGGTTTCTGTTACAGGGGACTAAAAATCTCTGAGCATCTGCGGTGTGGGTGTGTGTCCGGTTTTCGTCTGAACGACCTGGCCGGTCTCAGTAATGATGATGACGGCCTGGCAGGGCCATTGTGGACGTTGTTGACCTGGGGGGGAGGCAAGCCGGTCAACAACCAGTGGGTTTCAGATCCAAGATCACAGCTAACTGGGCTAATTTGCCTAACTGTTAAACAACTAACTGCTAGCATGTTACGGGTGTCTTTGTGTCTCTAATGAAACTTAAACAAGATCCTAGTTTTCTTGTTTTAAATCTGCAACACAAGAAAGAAACAAGGATGTAGCTGGAAGTACAAAATCACAGAGCTGGGAGATAAAAAATAAACTATGTAATTCAGGATTGAATTAGATCCAGGAGTTTGGCAAAACTCCTTTAGATGTTAATGACTTTCCTTTTATCATTGTTGTAGGACTAAAATGCATTCTTTACATTCTCCAGCTCCTGGTAGATTAATATTGTATCCATTCCACACATCAAATGAAAACAAGATTTTAACTCTTTGTCAACTAAAATGTGCTGCTCACACGGCTTGCGTTTCCTGACTTTGGATTCCCCTGGAGAATATGGGATGGTTGAGAAAAGGGGCCATAAGGCCCCTTCTTCAAGCTCAAGAGGACATAATGGTTGACATTTCAGCACAAAAGAATTGAACACTGTAAGGATGTAAACTTCTATTTTCTCTTGAAGGAGGAGTGGCCAGCTTCGCCTCTGGATGGACGCAAAAGAAAATAACTGCTCAAGATAAAAATGGTTGTCGCCTTTTGGTTTGTTTTTCACCTTCTTTTAGTTTATTTTTGGTGCAGTTTGCCTGAAAGTATCCTTTCCTGTTTGTTCGTGTGTTCAGTTTTCTTTTTCTGGTGTTGACATTTTCAATTCCTGTGCTTCCTGCCAAGCGTGTGATCGGCCGCGTGAACGGCCAATGCATCGTGCAGGAGTCACCACCCCCCTGTTTTGGTCGACGCTCGGTGGATCCGAGGGTTGAATCCGGGATTCTGACTTCATCGGCTCTGGAATTCACTACACGCTAGTTGAGGCTGTGGTGAGGTGCGCCAAGTGTTGGGACCTGTAAGGCCAGCCTTTTAAGCCTTGTGTGCTGATAAGTGAATTGAATCGAGTAGACCTTGAAAACTAAAAACTAAAAAGAAAAATAACGCATAAAAATTCCAAGTCCAATATCAAAAGCCATTGATCTTTCCCTATTGTTCGCATGTGATCGCCGGCGGGCCCTCGCCCCGGCCCGCCGGGGCCGGCGGGGGGGCGCTCGTTGGCTGGAGTGTCTCTAGTGTGTGCGCTGGTGGGTCCAGCATGCGGCGTGAATGTGTAGTGTTTGGTGGAGCACAGAATAGAAGAGAACGGCTAGACGCGAAAACACGAGAATTTTGGAAAAAGGTGACGTTGAAGAAACAGCGGCGAGCAGCTCCGCCTGGCGGTGGTAGTGCACTTGCTTGCGTTCGTCCGATAACCACGCCGGAGAGACCTGGTCACACGCGCTGCACTACTGGTGAGGTAGCAACCGCGCCGCAGTTATGTCGCATTGCTGCCCCCGTTGGGCCGCAACGTGGTTAGCCGAAGTGTATTGTCAGACCCTGAGTATTGTCCTAAAACCTTCGGAGCGCAGCCGGCGCCGATCTATATCACTAAAAGGCTGCTGACCGTCCATGGTCTGAGTGCGTTGACCGGTGTCATGAGTGTCGGGTGCCCGTGTGCGCCTGGTGGACGCGTTTGTGCTCGCCGCTCCGAGTACAGCGGCGAAACTGCGCAACCCGTCGTCTTGTCGCTGTCTTCGACACCTAGATAATCGAAGACCAGGTGGCGAGGAAGTCAGACGTCACGCGGTGCGTGGATGCCCCCGCCTGCCCGCGCGGCCGGCGCCCTTTGAAATGGGCCCCGGCCTGCCTGCGTGAGCTGAAGTGTGGCGGCGGACTGCGGTTGATGTGGCTGTGTGATGTTCACCGGGGCCGCCGGGATGTGTCCGTCGCTCGCAGGACGTCCTTGGTGCTCTCGGCCCGGAAAGCGCGACGTGAGCACTCATGTTGCAGGTCGTTTGCGCGGCAGCGCAAAAGTCAGTTTCGATGGGCCCGCCGTCACGCTGGGGGTTTTATGTCTGAAGGTTGGTTATGGTGTCTGAGCCCCTTCCAGACAGGAACCAGCAGTATACGCGACGCGGCGGCGCGGGGCTCAGTCAGAGTATAGCTCCATGCTCTAGCCGCATGGCTGACCACAGCAAGTGCGCGGTGCACGGGAACTGATGTATGACGGTCACAGCCCTCTGTGTACTCGGTCCAGACTTGTCGGCGTAGCAGTCTTGAACACATACCAGTCACAAACACGCTGGAGATCCTCCGCGAGCTTCATGCGTCCACTGTTTTGATGTCCTCACAACAGTTTACAGAGCTTTAATTGTATTGTCTGTATGAATTCAATTCAATTCAATTCAATTTTATTTGTATAGCGCCAATTCATACGAGAAGTTATCTCAGGACACTTTTCAAATAGAGCAGGTCTAGACCGGAACTCCTTTTAACATTTACAGAGAACCCAACAGTACCACCATGGAGCAAGCACCTTAGCGACGGGGCAAGGAAAAACTGCCTTTTAACATGCAGAAACCTAGGACATACCCTTCGGCTCTAGGGTGGTGTTCATCTGCCTTGACCAGTTGGGGGGGAAAGAGAGAAAGAGAGAGAGAGGAGAGAAAACCGAGAGAGACAGACAGATGTACAGCAACAACAGTAGCAACAACTACATTAATAGTAATGACCGATGACGATGAAGGAATCAGGTGCGGACCATGACGTGAGTCAGACGCCAGTGCGCGCGCGGCCCCGGCGGGGATGACGTGATCGAGAAGAGAGGCCCAGTGCGGCGCGGGGGACGGCGTGATGGCGGTGCCAACAAATTACTGTAGAGCATTAGTTGGACTGACATTAGGCAATGGCCTCCAGTCACTGATGAAGGTTCCTTATATGGAGATATATTATATTATAGATGAGATCTCAGTGTTATTCAGATTTGAATCCTTACTAAAATGTTACCACAAAATCTAATAATAGAGAACAAACATTTCAGCTGATGTACTGTGTAACACTACTGTACTAGCTAATCAATCAGCACTGACCAGTTATATTAGTAATTAATTAATAAATTCATGTTTTGTCATAGGTATTCAGAATCAATTGATGTCCTGTAATGGGAGCATGTTGGTGCTCAGCAGGTAATCGTGGTCTCAGTTATATTAGTAATTAATTAGTATTATTACATTCATGTGCAGAGACTTTGTGTATGGTCTCAGACACTCTGTGTGTTGAAGTTTGTCTCTACTGTTGGAGCAGCTGATAATTGAACATCTTCCTCATTTCAGAGACATTGCTGTAAAAATAACGTTACACAGAAAGTAAAGAGAAAAGTAGAAAACTGTTCTTCTGAGGACAGCTTGCATGGATGATGGAGACTGGTTTACTTCTGGTACTTCTTCGGATTTGTGTATACGCAGAAGCAGAACTAAGATGTAATCAAAATTTGCTGAGGGATAAGAAAGGGCCTTATATATTTCCCAGAAGGGAGTGTAAACATGGTCAAGTCTGTTACCACCACGCGTAGGACGGCTGATTGCTGGTGATGTTGCAGCAGGACTTTCCTTTAGGTTGCCATTGTTTCATCTACCACAGAGCAACCAGGTCTACATCCAGACATCTTTTATTAATTTAAAGTTTGTTGTAAACTTCAAAAAGACTAAATGTTTGCATTTCATGACTTTTCTTCTTGTCCTGGTGAAAATGGTTGTACAGTTTTCTTCACTGTTTGCTGTTAAATGATGTGAACCATAAAAATAAAAGACAAAGAGCACAAATTATGTTTCATTGGTCTTCTTGTTTCTTTAGGAAGTAACGGTGGTCCCAAGGCACCACCCTCTTGACCGTAGTCCCACCTGGACAGGTATTGGTCTGGTCAATGTCCCAGAGGGGGCCTTTCTGGAGTTCTCTTTGGACAACATCCCCCACTCCATGGAGTATGACATTATCATCCGCTACGAACCTCAGGTAGGATTGCTGTCAGCAAGGTGTAACTCTGCCCACCAGCAAACCCAAACCATGTGATTTGATGCTGCCGAGATACATTAACAGGCAACCATTTGCAACCCCAGAGTGTATTCCTAACACCTTACAGAAAATACACACAACCTTTTATCGCACATTTGCTGCTTTTTCACAAATCTAACAAATACACAAAATACAAAAGTTTTATGTTTCTCCAGCCAATTTATATGCAGTCCAGTAATTTTGAAGTTTGTGCTTCATCTGAATATAATAATAATAATAATAATAATAATAATAATACATTTGTGTGTAGAAGTATAAGAATAAGTAATAATTCTAAAAAGTTAAAATTTAAAGTTTAAGTTTTGTTTGTTTGTCCTGCAGCTGCCTGACCAATGGGAGGAGGTTCTGATGACAGTGATGAGACCCGGACCAATCAGAGCAGACAGTCGCTGTGTCAACACCGTGCCCGACGATGACAACCAGATGATCTCACTTCACCCTGGCTCACGGTAAGATTAGTTAAAAAATATAATAAGTATAAGTATAAGTTGATTTCAGGTTCAATAGAGACGGTTTTGGGGGAAAAAAGGAGTTTGTTTACGATGATGAGATTTCTTTTATGTATTCTGTTGTATATATTTATTGTACATCTTTACACAGATGATATACAGATTTGTTTTCCATAAAGATGTAAATTTTTACACCATATTTGAATACAGTGACAGCTCTCACTATCATAATTTAAAGCTTCTGCATGTAACTGTCATTAAACTGTAGTTAACAGTGCCACCAGTGGCTGTTCAGTGAACTGCAGTCAGCATCCTGTTGCATCATACTGGGAGCCAGCCAACAGTGACAAACACTGAACGCTGGGTAAATAACTGACAGTCATTTTAAATAGCGTTAACTATTTTTTGCAATTTTCGCTATATTTTATTTGGAGCCATGTAATGCTACTAACTAGCTCACCATTTACAAATTACCCCATCAGCCAAAACCACGAGGAAGACAACCTCAGCTTAGCTACAGTTAGCTTGCTGGATGCCCATGCCTCGCGTCGCTCTTGGCTAGTAGAAAGCTATTGTTAGCTTTGTACCGCTACATTATTAATTGTTGGCTAAAATCAACACAATTTGTCAGAATACATAAGTTAGTATCATGGATCACGTTAGCTGGGGGAGCTAATGTTAGCAAACTAATTTTGATAGCGATATGTTTAGCAAGAAAGCTCACATTAGACAACTAACATATCCACTCAAATAGCTAAGCTTAGCCAGCCAGCTGCAGCTTGTTAGACTTGTTTGTAGATGTTTGCGGACTCCATTTATAACGTTAGCTAGTGTTGCACACTGTTGACACTGTAGGGAAGAGAGAGAGAGAAGGTACTCGGAGCATAAGCGTTAATAAGCTTTTATTGATTGTATTATTGAGCAGCTCCACTTATGTCCTCTTGAAATTATTGTAGTTGTGTTTGGTCATGTGTTTTCAACTGTGAATTTCTCTGTGAGTGAAATGTTTGTTTTGTTTCCCGTCTATACCTTAGGTACGTGGTTCTTCCCAGACCAGTTTGTTTTGAATCTGGTCTGAACTACACAATTCGTCTCAGTCTGCCGCTGTACTCGACCCTCAGTGACGTCCAGTCTCCATACACACTCATTGACTCGGTGAGGAACCTCTGATCTGATCTTCAAACACATAGAATATGAAAAAACTACAGCTAACCTTAGTGCAGATTATTCTCTCAATCAATCATGTGAGGTCTAAAATGATCCAAAATGCTCATTATAGTCCATTATAGTGACGTCTTTAAATATCTTGTCTTGTCCAACACCTAAAGTTTTATATTCAGTCATGGTTTTCTTTGTCCTCAGATTGTGTTGATGCCTCACTGTAAGAACCTAGAGATCTTCACAGCCTCAGAGGGAGGAGACTCCATCGGGAACAGTGGTTGGGAAACTTTCCAGCGCTATCGTTGTCTTGAGAACAGCCAGGGTGTCATCAAGTCTCAGATGACTGACATCTGTCGAAACTTCATCTTTAGCATCTCCGCCATGTTGCACCAGGGAGCTAAAGGTACACCACTCCACATTCACAATCTCCCACTGTGTGTCCAAGATTTGTTCCAACCAGTACTTTATTCTATATTCTGTGACTAAGGTGTGCCATATGGGCTCTGACCAACTGGTTGAAATGTTCCAAACTTCCAAATTTTATTGATTTTCTCTGCAGTACCAACAACATCCAGAGGATGAAGCTTTGATCACTGTATGAAAACAGAGAATTCAATTCAATTCAATTTTATTTGTATAGCGCCAATTCATAAAAGAAGTTATCTCAGGACACTTTTCAAGTAGAGCAGGTCTCTAACCCAACAGTTTCCACCATGACAAGCACTTGACGACGGGGGCCAAAGGTAAAAACGTGCCTTTTAAGAGGCAGAAACCTAGGACGAGATCCTTCGGCTAGGTGGGTGGTTCGTCCGCCTCGACCAGTTTCTGGGGCCTGGAGGAGAGAGAGAGAAGAGAGAGAGAGAGGACAGACAGACACACACAAAGTGGCAACAACTACACTAAGTAGTATGACTGATGATGATGACATGAAAGATGATGACGAAACAACAGCAGTAAGATGGGGGACAACGAGCAGCGACAACAGCAACAACAGTAACTGTAGCAATAATAATACTAATTAAAGCTGCAAAGCAGCATCTGGGGGGACCACTACTCGCACTCAACCTACATCTGGGCTGCCCGGAGGTCCGCCCGCCGCAGCCGCAAGGCACGCCACGTCACCCACTCCAAGCCCTCATCGCCAGCAGATGAGGGAGACCACTCTAGTTGTTGTGCGTTTCAGATACTGTGCAAAAAGACTTTACGCTTTCATAGCGAGACTCTTCACATGGAAAACTTGGAAATTCAGCCACACACCCACAGGACACAGCCGTTTGACCCACACGCTCAATATTTGATCTAACCTTTTGATCACCAATGTGTTAAGATTGCTCAGTGCTCGAATTGAAAGTCAATCCGATACATAGCGAACCTGTGGCGGAGTTACATTCAAATCGCTCGAAGCCCTGAACTGCTGGAAATGGCATTACAGCTTGCACATTCGGATTT